ATAGATAGATAGATAGATAATGAAGTAGACATGTGAGCAAGATAACAAAGATAAGCAAGTGAGAGTGAACGTTGGAAGAGACAGCGGAAAAGCAAGTGGCAGATATAGTCTGCAGGTTATTCTTGGGATCAGTGGTTGCTTCTTGGTAAGATAGAAGAGATTTGTTGGGAGGAATTTGTTCTGTATATTGGAGTAATGAAAACCACACCTTTGTTTGGAGTAAAATCCTATTTTATTAAATACACAGTGTTGGAGGCAAGCAACAACTCAACCTATCCAGTAGAAAATGAAAGTTTCATGTGCATACAGAGCCAGGTTGCAAATTCATGATATATGAAGGAAAGTTTTACAAAGGTTGAGTGTTCTACAAAGGCTGATAAAATTCATTTTATTTGCTTATCACTGATTCTTGCTTCTATTCCATTGTCTAGCTAGCTTATCCCAAATCCTTGTTTGTTCCCAGCACAAGGAATTGCAACTGGACTTGAGGGTTGGAGAAGCACAGCCTTGCTCAAGCTAAATATAACCATTCCTCCTTTATGTTTTTTACTATAGTTTACAGGTAAGCCACCACTTACTACAACCATGAGCCTAGCCACCTACAAAAATCTACCTATAGTCATCCCACAATAGGTGAATATTGTCAACCTGGCAGAAAATCTATTTAAAACACTGATAAATTCATCCTGTGCCTGGAAGTCTGGAAGTCCCAACTGTTATATTTTGTTTTTTAATATACATTCAAAGATTAAATACTTCAACATAGTATGTTAGAATTACAGTATTTATTTAGGTTGTGTGGAATAAAAATGCAATTAACAAAAACCTTCATGTTCCATAAAATTGGAATGGAACTTTGGGGAGCATAATTATATCGTTGTATGACAGAGCTGTTAAACACTCTAGTTTTATAGCATAGTCTCTCCCAATACTGCTTATTTCCAAATAAACAAAACACTTTTACTTAGGAGTTAGCTCCATTGAACTAAGATTCAGTTCTAAGTAAATATATGTGAGAATATACTGATTCGTCATGAACCTTTGTTGCATAAAGATAATATCCTTTAAATCAACTCACAAACTAGTTGATTGTCCTTTTTTGTCAAATGTGAAGTAAAAACTAAATAATTTTAAAATACTACCAAAGAATATCAAAGAATGAACAACTCTATTAAACTGTTGAGAAAAAAATAGTTTCAGAATATGCATAAAAAATATAAAAAGTGCAAACCCTGACTTTAAGAAATTAAGTGACTTGCATATTTCCTATGCAAAATTATGAAAACATTCATATAATGGGGATTTTGAAAATAAATTTGCTTTTTTTCTTCAAAACCAACAGCATTGTATGTTACTACTGAACTCCCAACTATGCAGAGAGAAAAAACATAATAGCATGTTTAAACTAAAATAATTACTCCCTTTCAATATTATTATTGTTTTGATTTGCATTGTTTTCTAAAGACCTCCTAAAAAAGAATAGACTGATGATTACTGGTATTTGAGGGTAGAGTAGAGCAGAGAGTAACAAGTTTAGTACTGTACAACCACCTTTCTTTTGAGTTTGCCTTTACATCAACCTTCCCCCAAAATGTGCCGTTTCTTGAATTCCCCAGTCTACAAGACCACTGCAGAGAATTTTGGAAGCTTAAGTCTACAGATCTGCAAGGGGCCCAAGATGGCAACCAGTGCTTCACAGTATCTCTGCTTCTTTTTCTGTCTTGAGAATATATTTAAACACGCACCTCCAAAAATTCCATCTTGCTGCTCCTCAATTAAGGAAAACAACTACAATAAATTAGTATTACAAATAAGAAAAGATCTGGAAACGTGGGGAAAATTACAGATTTCACTAATTGGAAGAATTGCTGCAATTAAAATGACTATACTGCCCAAATTATTATATCTGTTTCAAACTATACCAATAAAATTAGGTAAACCCTTTTTTGAGGAATTAAATAAAATAATAGCCAAATTTGTTTGGGTGGGGAAAAAAACCAGAATTAAAATGAAATTAATGCAGGATAAAAGAAGTAGAGGTGGCTTTGGACTTCTGGACTGGGAATTATATCATCAGGCAGTGGCCATGACATGTATAAAAGATTGGATTAATTCGGACAATAAAAGAATATTATTGATAGAGGGACATGATTTACAAGAAGGGTGGCATGGATTTTTATGGGAAGGGAAAAACAAAAATCACTCTTATTTCTAAAGGTATCTGATCAGAGATGCACTTGTTCAGGTGTGGGGAAAAATAAAAAAACCCACTACACTAAAATATCTAACTGGCTGTCAACAATGGAGGCGATATACCCCAGTGCAATGGACTTAAATAAAATGAGAAAATACAAGGAACTGATTGACACACAAGGAAGGCTAAGAAGAGCACAAGAACTAAAGCAACCAGGTATAGATATTGATTTGTGGCCTACTTGCAAATTCACACAAGATATAAAAAAGATAAGAATATGGATTCTATAAAGATAAAAAAACAAGTAGATAAAATAATTCAGGGAACAGAAGAGAAAATGATATCTAAAATATGTAACCTTCTTTTGAACTTTAAAATGAATGAAGAATTTGCAAAAGAAACAATGATAGCTTGGGCGAAAAATTTGGGTTACAGTATTGAATTAGAATATTGGGGAAAATGTGGGGGGAGGAACTATAAATTAACATTATCAGCACTATATAAAGAAAATATATATAAAATGTTTTATAGATGGCATCTACCCCCTGCTAGATTGGCAAAGATGTTCCCAACCAGGAGCCCAAAATGCTGGAAATGTAAAAGTAAACAGGGAACCTTTTTCCATATGTGGTGGACATGTTCGGAAGCCAAAAGTTACTGGAGCAGAATGCAAAAGTGCATAGAGGAAATAACAAAACAAAGAATTGAATTCAGACCGGAACTGTCTTTATTGGGAATAATAAGGGGAGATTATACTAAGACAGACAAATATATCATTTTACATATAACAACTGTGGCCAGAATTGTGTACTCACAGTACTGGAAACAGGATAATATACCATCTGAGGGGACAGTGATAAGAAAGATTTTAGATTGCGCAGAGATGGACAGGTTGACCTTAGAGTTAAAAGATAGAGGTGAAGCAGAGTATTATCAGATCTGGGATGCCTGGTATATCTTGTTAGACAATAGACACAAAAGTAACACAGTAACTAATATATGAATATGAATGTTGACAATGTATCATTGTTGAAATGTTAATATGCTATAAATTGTTGGAAAACGTTTAATAAAAAGTATTTTAAAATAAGATGTAAAGACTGCTTGTACGAGTGAGTGCTTGTACGAGTGAGGTGGAAGAAGTGGGATATGTAGAAGGCAGGAGAATGCTAGGGCAGTTCTCAAGAATGGAAAATGTGTGTGACCCTAGAGCAGGGCTGTCAAACTCCTGGTCAGCGGGCTGGATGTGTCATGTGCTGGCCGCACCCACATCCAGTTTAACAAAGGGGGAAAAAGTCCCAATACATCATGTGATGACGCCATGATGTGAGTTTGACACCCCTGCCCTAGAAGCTAAAACTTTTATAATTAAGGAAGGGAAACCTGCAATTCTTAAAATCTTCAATATTTCACACACAACTAAAACTCAAGCATGAAAAATGAGCTGACAAGTGGCTTTTTGGGCAGCATGACCGTTTCAAGTTCTAAAAGTTTTCTCCTGGCTTTTATGCAAGGAATCATACTTTCTGAGTATTAACTATGAGCGTTTTGTTTGGGGAATTTTCTTGAAACTAATGTGTCCATTGCCTTGACTAATATCATTGACATTCATGAATAATTAGGGTTGTGGCTGCAACATTTTAAAAACACTGGGTATTTGCTCTCTGCCAGAGTGCCCCATTGTGAGTATAGGTCACTGGAGGGCAGGAATTGACAATGTTTCTATGGACCAAAGTGCCTACTATATTAATATATTAATTTAACATGTCTGGTTTTTGTTATGTATGAAGGAACTAGAGGAAAGTATACCTGTTTCCCTGCCCCCAAGTTTTATATGGATGATTATACGAGCTATGAGAAATATGGATCAGCTGCAGAGAAGGAACTATTTCATCATACACTTATCTATACATTTTGATATGGGCAAATATGGAATGATGCGTCACAATATGAATTATAAGAACATGCTAACTTATGTCTGGTTACTAAGCATCTTCAGTACATAACAGATTATATAAATCCTGTATCAGGAGCTCACAACTAAAAGAATTGTTTCAGCAGCTCAATTTCTTTTGGCAAATCCACCTCTTGTGAGCAGAACACACAGCGGATGCCCATGTCCCACCGGGATGCATGATCCCACAGTTCTTCTTGTCATCGTTGCTTGGCTCTCCTCGATCCCAAAAACTAGAAAGAAAATAACAGAATATTTAATATTAACATATAATCATCTATATGTTTATGAATTTGCTATATTATTCCTGCATTCTACCTTGAGATTATGTCCTAGTATTTTTCATCTTCATCTTAAAATAATTATTAGCCTGGTATCAATGACATATGGAATACAATATAAGTGGTATTTTCCATATGGATGAGTTAGCTAATTATGTAGCTCGTGTGGCCAGAGTCCCTCTTTCTGCTCTGCAGTTCTGCGGAGGAAAGGGGATATTCAGCAACTAAGAAGTATTGTCCACTTTTCTCTCAAGAGTCTTTTCTGGGTCAAGAAGACTAGCTATGTCATCTTGTTGCTACCCGTGGGCATTTTGCTATATTTGCTGAGCGACTAGTATATTAATTATTTTTTTATTGTTTTGAATATTTCTAAAGGCACACTTACTATAATTCTGGGCACTTTTCTCCAACCAGGACTCATTCTGAGTTTTAGCTTTCACACACTATCTCTACAGCTCCACATCACTCATATTCTCCCTTCCATCTCCTTTATATATCCTTTTTTTAAAAAATTGTGTATCCCAAGTTTTCTGCTGTCCTACAATTTTTCCTCAAGGGAATTGTGTGCAATTATCTTTTTTAAGTTCTCTTTTTAAGAAGCTTCCACATATTTTGAGCTCCTTCATAAATTTCCAATTCTGTTGAATCCTACTAATTTTTTTTCTGACTTATTAAAATTTATTTTCTGAAACATGGAGCTTAAAAAAGAAAGAAAAGAAAAACATCCAAAATATATTCACCTTGTGATGAGTGGCATACCACTTTCTTTCCACTTCCACTGTCCTTCTAAATCACTCATACCCAACCAATGGTCAACTTCATTGAGGTTATTTCTCACAAAACCCTGAAACAAAAAAGTATAGGCCAATCAGCTTGACATAAATACTTGGAGATTACTATAAGCCAGCATAATTTGTCAAAAACAGATCATGACCGATGAATCTTATATCCCTCTTTGATAAAGTGATTAAACATGTAGACATAGTAAGGCATTTGACAAAGCAGACCACAGATTACTTCTTGATAAGGAAAAATATGGGATAGACAGTACCACCACCAGATGTATTCACAATTGGCTGACCAACCACATCCAGCATTCCTTAATGGAATTACATTAACGTGGAAGGAAGCCTGCAGTGGGGGTACCTTAAGGTTCTGTATTGGTCTCAATGCTCCTCAACATCTTCATAAATGATCTGGACAAAGAGATAGAAGAGATCTCATCAGATTTGCAAATGCCACCAAGCTGGGGAGAATTGCTAACACTGTGGAAGATAGACACAAGATTCAGAAGGATCTTGACAGACTTGAGCATTGGGCCCTATCCAACAAGATGCAGTTCAGTGGTAAGAAAAGTAAGTTCTGCACCTAGGCAGGAAAAACACCTGCCAAAAAGCCAAAGCAATCCTGGGCTGCATCAACAGAGGGATAACATCAAGATCACGAGAAGTGAGGCTTCCAGTTTGGGCTTCTTCAGCAACGAACCGAAATCCATGATTGTGCACGGTTTTGATCCATGCTCACCACCAGAGGGCCCCAGTTTTCTGGATTCGGGGCTGTAGCCATCCCGTAGAGGTGGCGAAGAAGGGGGAGGCAGCCAGCTAAGTTGAAGAGAGCCGCATCTCTCCTCGGCTTGGCATTACTCGCTTTCCTGAAGGCAGTTGTAGCGATGGTCAGAAATGGCCACCTCAAAGAAGAACCCGACCGGACAAGATTGAGCAGGAGCGAAGACAAAGGGGAGAGCTTGACAGACTGGGCTAAGCAGAGACAACATCTACGCAAGGTAACCTGGAACTAAAATCATTAAGAGTGCTATTTTTAAAAGATGATTTAAAAGTGGTGGAGAAGAGAGAGGGGAATTTTTTTTCTTTTTTTCCTCATATTGACAGTAGCAATTGGCTTTAAATGTTAAAAAGAAGAGATTCAAGCAAGGAAACTGCACTAAATTACTTTGACACTAACAGGAAAATTGCAAGCTGGAATTAAGTGTCAAAGGGAAAATAAAGATTTTTTGGATACTTTAAAGCCTTCAAAGGGAGGAAAGTGGAAGAAAAAAGAAAGGGTGGAACTTGGAAATAACAGAGAGTGCCACCTGGAAACAAAAAGAATTAACTGTGAAACTGTAAAAGACTTTCAAAGGATATATTGTAACTGAAACTTTGTTACAATACAACAGAGCCCCGGGAAAGGAAAAGTGGAACTTTAAAATGTGAAATAAAAAGAAAGAAGCATGAAGGAACTGTTCTGGAATATTTGGTGACTTTTTGAATTTTGGGCGTTGGACTCTCAGTGATTTGAATTAAAATTAATCAGCTGGTTGTTTAAAAGCGTTTAAAATGGCAGAACTCCTTGTGGAATTAAAAATGGAACTTTAAAAAATGAAAGAAGAACTGCAAGAGAGAGGACAATCCTTCGGCTTCGCACTTCAATTTTTAGAAATGGAGATTTTAAACTATGAAAAACAACAAGAAATGCTTGAAGAACAAGAAGGACTGGACAAAGAAGAAGCCATCTTTAATGATCAAACAATGCAACGTGGGGTTAAATGGAAAAAGGGAGTTAAAAATTTGAGATTAGAGGGAACAATTAAAAAAAAGAACAGTTTGAAAAGCAAACATAACATTAGGAAGAAGCAGAAGAGGATTACAGAAGGGAGAATTAGAGAGGGGGACAAAAAGGGTGGTGAGAAAAAGGGGGAATGATAAAAAGGGAAAGAAGTTATAAGGGACAGGAACAGGAATAAAGAAACAAGGGAAATGAACAAGGATCAAAGGTATTAGTCTATTTAAAAGACACAGACATAATGGTTAAAAAATAAGTTAAAAGAGAGGATTCCAAAAGGGTACAAGAGATAGTATAGTTATATTAGAAATAGTAATGAGCTAGGAAATAGGAAACATAGGTGATTAAAATGAAAGATAAAACTGGTATTGTTATGTAATGAAATGTTTGTTAACAAATGAAATAAAGAAACAAAGGGAATTAAAAATGAAAGAAGGGGAAATAAGAGGAAGGAATGAAAATACCTTAATTATTTTTTTTAATGAATTATAAAATACAATTGAAATGAAATGTGAAAGATTTGTAATGAAATCAATATCAGTTGAAAGGGTGAGTTTGAATAGAATAATTATTTTACTTATTATTTTTATATATCTTTTTTTTAATTGTCTGTATTTTTAAGGGAAAGTATCAAGCGGAATTCAGTTAAGAGTTATATGATATATAATAGATATTAGAAGCTGAATGTTATAATTGTATAATGTATAAACTAAATGCTTAATGAGATTTGAAAGCATAAGTATAAGATATAAGGGTGACACTCATTTTGGTAATTATAGGGGAAACCTTGCTTTTTAATGCCTGGAAGGGGAGGGAATCTTTTTTTTTCTTTTTCCTTTCAGGAAGGTGGTCAAAAAAGAATGTATGAAATGGTAAACAGGACAGACAAAAGTATAAGTGTAAAGATTAGGAGGATATAGAAATTTAGGAAAAGATATGTAATCGAATTAGAAAGGAATGAGACAATTATAATATAAGGCTGAGGAAATTAAGGGAAGGAAAAATTAATGAGAAATTGATAAAATAGTGATGAGATATGAAATTGAATACAACAGATGAGTATGTAAATGAGATTATATCTGTATGGAGATGTGGTAACCTGGAATCATGCTGTTCTCTAAAAAAAGGTGTTCTACTTTTATTATGTTTTATAAAAACTCAAATAAAATTTTTACAAAAAAAAAAAAAAAAGATCACCAGAAGTGATGTAAGAGGGGATTGCAATATAGGGGATTGACTCCAAAGCACCAAAGGGCAGAACAAGAAGTAATGGTGGAAGCTTTTTAAAGAGAAGTAAGGAGAAAATTTCTAACAGTGAGAACAATTAATGAATGGAATTAGCTTGCCTCCTTGAGTTCTGGATGCTCTGTCACTGGAGTTTTCAAAACAGACCGGACAAACATTTGACTGTGATAATATAATCAGGGAGTTGCACTTGAAGAGTTCTGAAGTCCCTTCCAGTTTATGTTCTATTATTATATTGACCAAATAACAAAAAATCCTAAGATTGTTAAAATAAAAGAGAACTTGAAACAGAATAAAGCCAGCCATAGAATAATACTAATGTAAAACTGGTAGCAGCAATATGAAGGACTTTAAAGAAAAAATGGGTTTTCAGTTTCTATTAAAATGACTACAAATAGGTGCCAAACATGACTCTTTGGATGCCACCTATGTGAAACCCTACTAAGAATTCACTCAGAGCATAAATGGATGCTTCTCAAAATGAATAGCAAGTATAGATGTTCGTATTAAAGATATGTGGGAGATATAGCAAACGAGACAATTAACCCCAGAACATTTAACATTTTAATAGTTAACATCAGTACTTGAGCCAGGTCAGGAAATGAACTGGATAGCAGTACATATGGCAAAAATCAATACTATTATATTAGTCAAAATTAACAATCTTGCTAAAACTATACTTATTGAAGTGTCTGGGTTGTTTTCCAATGAGCCACTTTAAAATAATCTGTAAGAGTTCAATATAATTCAATATAATGCCTAATTCTTATAAACAATGAAAATTAGAAATGGTTCCATAGTGTACACTCAAAAATATCTTCCTACTTTCATTGACCTGGTTACTGTTTGTAAGACTGAAAAGACCTTTCTGGCTGAAGAGAAAATCAAGGGTTTTTAAAGAAAAGTAATTCCAGCTTTTTATTTTTTTAAAAAAATCGAATTATTTCTGTTATCTTTCAAATAAATACCAGTAGTACTATCAGAATATCTATAATTGACAAATGGGCTGCTGGAACAAACCATGGATGAGACAAGAGAACCTGGAAACGATGGGATGCTACTAAAGTAGCAGACCTAATGAGAGAGGATATATGAAACATATGAGAGAAGAACAACAGGGCTTGGAGCCAACAGCTGAAGCTGGAACATCACTACAACCCCCTCCATTACAGAATCACAGAAGCTGGAGAAGTACCAAGACCTGAAGAAGGAACTAGAGAGGATGTGGAAAGTAAAAGCCAATGTGGTCCCAGTGTAATAGGAATGCTTGGGGCTGTGACTCCTTAATTCGGAGAATGGCTTCAACAGAACCCAGGAACAACATCGAAGCTCTCTGTCCAGAAAAGTTCAGTGTTAGGAATTGCTAATTTTTTTAATCTGATTTTTTTTTACCAGAATCAGCTATGTAGGAGGACTTACCTGTTCTTCATCAGATAAAATGCTAACCAGATATGCCTTATCATTAATACAATTCCACAAGGCATTAGTCCAGTTTGTGTTTTCAGCTGAAAAATAATAACAGTATTTCCCTTGACGCTTCCAACGGTGGGGGCATGAAGAAACAATTGTGATGTTTCCTTGGCTGCAGGTGGATTCTACAAGCAAATATGTTAGAAGCTTCTATTAGTCTGCAATAGTGTTTAGAAATTGCTGAAGTCACATAGGCATATGAAATTAACAGTTTAAGTTGGCAGAGCACATTGAATACTGTGCAAACGTCTTAGGCCACTACCCATTTTGTCGTTTTAGAAAAGTTTTAATGACCATCCATTATTATTTTTTGGTCTTGAATACCACATGTTTAACATCTCATTTGTTTGTTGATTTCCCTTTAAGAGTGGCTGATGCAAAAGTATGCTTTTATGTTTGTCAAATTCTGTGATCTTTGATATTTTGACTGGAACAATGTAATTGAAAGTTGGTCTTATTGGCAAGCTTCCAATGAATTACACTCATACATCATGTGTCTGTACTGAATGTAATGCTCAAGCATGTGTTGCACAAAGCTGGTGTAACTGAACTTTTTGCACAGCAGTCATTTTGGCATGAAATCGTAGGACACAAACTTGTGTTAGCAATAACAGTACTTAGGGTTCCATTCCATTTAAGTGTATGGGAGCCAGGTAAATGCTGTTGCTCAAGTATAAGGGAGGTCACATTAAATACTTGCCACTGTAGTCTATGGAAGCTGTTTTTTCTGCTTTTTCCTGTTTTTGAATACTGTATACAAATTCCCTGCATTTTCTGGTTGTATTCTAATAAATACATCAACTTTGAAATACATCATGGACAGCATCATGTGAAAGATTCAGTTATCTGAAAGAACACCCCCCCCCCAGAAAAAAGAATCTACAAATAATGTATGAAAAGAGTAGTGCTAACTAACTCTGCTCTCCATATTCCTAAAGGCCTTCTAGGCACCTTCACTTCCTCTAAGTTCCTCTAAGTTGAAATTAATGCTTACCTGATAGTTTTCAGATATTCAGAGCAGAACCTGGACAGAATTCTTTCCAAATACAAAGTTAAACAGTAAGGGAAACTTTTGGCTGAAAATATGTTTGTTATATGCATTTTCCTTGCCTTCCTGATCATTTCTGATATTCACATTTTCCAACCAGGATGATTCCACTTCCCATTTAGAAGAATTCAGATCTAGAACTTTTTTTAGAAGTGTCTTACCTAAAATTTCCTCAGTTTCAGCGAACCTATTACTTGAGTATTGTTCAGTCATCAACTGTGTTGTTTTAACATAATCCAGGTCTTCCATCACTAAAAGAGAAATCAAAATGCTGACAGAGATGTCCTGAAAATAGGTCATCTATTGTCCAGGTCAATAACATGGTGGTCACAAATTCCCGAGTTGCCTCCAACTCTGGGCTAAGCAAAAGCAGATTAAAATCCCCCAACATAAGCCTGGAAAACTGCAAAATATAATCACCAGAATCAAGCACCTCTAGTAGGAAGGATGCTCTGTAGCAGACAGTTTGATATACAAGTAGTGATTCCATCTGATCTCTATGGCCCAACTTCCCAAACAGAGTTCCAAATTCAGTTATCTGTGAAACAGAGACCTGGAAGCCTCCACACTCTCCTGGATGACAGTGGTCATGCTGCTATTTCTATCCCAGAGTCTTGGCTGATGTTATGCCAGAAAAGTGGGCCACATTTCTGAGAGGGCAGCTCCCTTCTGCATCCAGCCAGATCTCAGTGATATATGCCAAATTCACACTGTTATCCATGATTATATTGTATCATGCATAATGGTAGCCTTATTACAGACCGACCTGACATTCAACAGAAGCCTGTGAAACCAGTGACCACTAAAGCTATGAAGATCAAGCCTCAAGGACAGAATATATGAGGTCTTTAGCAGTTGGGGTCTATTAGCAATTTCACCCTAAAATTATTATCTAGTTTGATTATTGGTCTCCTTTACAAGATAATTAAAGATGTAAATATTAAAAAGGCACAGTGAGCTATCTTTCATTAACTTCTTTGAGTAGTTTAGGTTTTGGTTCTGTAGTTTCTCTAAAATTACTAAGTCTGATGAAGAAAGATGAGACAAAATATGGAATAATATCAATTATATTTTGCAGGCAACCTTTTATTATGATGACCATCCAAATTTATGGTCCAAACACCGATGCAACAGAGGAAGTTGACCAGTTTTCTGGTCAAATTCAATTTGAAATTGACAAGATGTACTGCTTATGATTCACATTGGAATGCCAGATATGGAAATACTAAGGCAAAAATTGTATTGAATTGTGTGATCTGGGAAACAAATGAAGGAAAAGAGCCACTTATCCATGTTTGTCAGTCCAATGCTTTTTTCAATGCTAACACAGTTTTATTATAACTGAAATAATGAAATGATTCATGGATATCATGGATATCACCAGATGGAAAACTCAGAAATCAAATTGACTATAAATAAAATAAAGTAGAAGAGCTTCATTATAACAACAAATATGTGGCTAGGCACTCCTGGAAACAGATCATGAACTTCTCTTGAGCAAGTTCCAATTCAGATTAAAGCAGAAGAATAAAGCCAATCAGTTTTCCCTAGATGATCTGAAGCATATTCCCATCATTTTCTAAGTGATCATCAGGAATCACTTTGAAGACCTGAACCTAATTAATATGAAAGCAGAGTAAGTATGGAATGAAGTCAAAGATGTTGTTAAGGATGCACATAAAAAGAGACTGCCAAAGGTCACAAAACAAAATAAACTAAATGTCAGAAGAAATAATAAAATTTGCCAAGAAAAAAAGAGAAACCAACCCCAAGAACTGCAAAGATCTCAGTAGTGATCAATAAAGTCACCAAAGGTGTAGAAAGACATGAGGAAATAAACAAACTCATCCAAAAAAAAACTACACATTCAAAAAGAGGTTATGATTTTAAATTGGTATGTTAAAGAATATCATTGGACACAGAGTAACTCATTTACAGATCAAACAAAGAAGGAAGGATTATAATGTAAAGTAGATATGTCAAGATCCAAAATACTTTAGATTAGAAGATATTTCCTTCTTTAAAAAAAACTTCTAGCACTAGAAGATGAAGGTAGATCAGTGGTTATGCTTGATTACGTACACAAGCAGCAACTAGAGGCAGAACCATAGCAGAAAGAAGTTGAATATACTTATTGATTGAGAGTGACTATGGCCCTTAGCAGTTCGGGGCCTGCAGTATATGAGATCCTTTAGCACCTTTATATTAAAAAGTGCCATCTATTTTTTTGTGCCATTTGCAAGATAAAGACATACAGTATAAATATTTAAAGGCATAGTCTTACTTTTTTTAAACTTCTCTGAGTTGTTTAGGTTCAAGTTCTCTATCTTCTCTGAAATTTCTGAGTCTGAAGAAGAAAATGAAATGTGGAAATTTTGTTTTTACTTCAATCCAATCTTTGTTCTGAAATTGTACAGCATTAAAATTATCATTGTAGATGTTAAGCTAAGCCACACATTCCTATGTAAAATCACAGTCCCTTTTGAGAGCTGCAGACAGGTGCTACATTCATAGCCTTATATGCACTGAACCACCATTTTGAATCAGAAACTAAAGCTCGTCCCAATTTTATTTAATACTAATGAAATTTAATCAATATTATATAAAACTGATGATAAGTACAACAGATTTGTTTAAGAACTTAAAAATTGGAAGATCATTTAAGTATTGAACTTGATTAAGTTCTATTAAAATCTTTGTTGTTCAAATTCCTTTTAAATCTTTTTCAACAACTCATCAAATTTTGACCATTAGATAATGCATTCCACAAAGATTTACATTGCATAAGCTCTACTTCTTCTTCTACATTGTATTGCTAAGTATATTATAACCTTTGGTTGTAATGTTGGTTGTTCAATTTTTGAGACCTCTCTAATTCCTCATGACCCATTAACCAGAACTGTCTGTGAGTAATTGAATTCTTGTAAGCTCATGTTTATGTCATCTGTAATAATTTTCAACCACCTTGTCCGCTGTTAATTTTTTTTCTATTCCATTTTTCTAAGCCTTGAGGTCTCCACCAATTACTTAAGCCATGCACATCCAAATTAGGCTGTAGAATTTCCAATGAGCACTCTGATTTTATGTCATCTAATATTAAATGAGTTGTTCTTTTTGTGATACAAAGTGTTGTCAGCAATTTTCTCCATCCCCATAGTTGAAAGGCAGTTACTTTTCTTTGTTCAGCCTTTATGAAGGTACAGCTTTCAGAACCGTAAGTTCACCTGGAAAATCAAGGCCTTGAGAATATGAATCTTATTTGTCAGTGTGGCATCTCTGTCCTTTAAAACTATGTCTAATTCTCTCGTAATCTTTCTCCTACCTAACAGATCTCTCTCTCTCCCAGGCTATAATTACCATCATTATCAATTTTTCAGTGTAAGAAGATAAAATCTGTTAACTACCACAATTTCTTCTCCAAACTATTTGCACTGGATTTTTTTATTGAGAAGTAGACTGGCTTTAGCATTATTTATTCCACTTTTATCCAAAGATACCTTAAGTTTTTCCTGCTTCTAATAATCATTCCTAAACTAAATTGTTATAATTTAATATAATGCCCCCTATTCTGTTCTGAATAAACACTTTATTGTTATTTATTAGTCATCACACAAATTCCTCAGTAGCCAGATGAAGGGGCTTAATATACTCGGGTTTTAAGGACTAGCAACAATTGTTTATAGTCTGCACAGTTAAAAAAACCTCTGCTTAATTAATATGGCAAAAATTCGACACCTTTCCCCCTTCTCAATTCTACTATGCTGCCTCATAGTCAGGGAAGGGGAAGTGTTCTTCCTGAAGGCAAAAATAAAGAATACTGGGAGTGTATGTACTATACCTATATACTGAGTATTATGCAAGCATATATAGCATGTAGGTATATGTGAAGACCCTGCAGGGTCACCCAAGGTATCCAGTAAAACATCCAGATGTCCAATTAAACTGAGCAGGCCATCTTGGGTAGGAGCAATATTGGAAATTGTGGGAGAAAGATAATCACTTTAATAATAAGAAAAAGATATTTTATACTCTGCAGGAGTTGTCAGTAGTAAACCACTCCTATACCTAACAAAAAAAAAAAGGATAGACAATGTAAACATAATAGTCTTCCCAAATGATGAGCTGATTGAGAATTCTGGGAAGAAAATGGCCGATATTAAGTGACTGGAATGGATGGAATCAGAGGTGGTATTCAGCAGGTTCTGACCAGTTCTGGAGAACTGGTAGCAGAAATTTTGAGTAGTTCGGAGAACCAGTAAATACCACCTCTGACTGGAGATTTTACAGTATCCTTCCCCTGCCATGCCCATCAAGCCATGCCCACAGAACCAGTAGTAAAAAAATTTGAATCCCACCAATGGATGGAATACTTCTTACTGAGAGCATTTTTGCCAGTAGGAAGTATTTGTTTTTTTCTTCAGTTGAAGACCAATGAACCATTTTGAAAATCTATATTTTTAATCAAATATTTTAAAAACAATTGAGAGTTAAAGCTGGGGAAAGAGCAGGTTGAAGTCAAGAATCAGTCACTAGCAGCAGTTTTAAGGAACAAACCTGGTTAAGAAACCACCTGACTGCCTGGGTATAAACATTTTATATCTCTTCCTGTTGAGGAGATCTGAAGGTCAGTGCATACAGAAGCTAAAATGTACATTTATGGTAGCTCCCTGTTCAAGGAATTCTTTAATGTTACAAGTTCTCAGTTCTCATCCTTGGAATTCCTGACAATACTATTGATACCGGGAATCACTTACATTTCTCCAGGACCAAGAAAAAGAGAGTAATCCATGCTGCAAAACCTATGGCTACTAGGACATAAAGAATGGGTATATGAAGCTTTCTAGAGTTATTCTCTTTTGCAGGTTTACAGATGGAAGGAGCTGTAGAAGAGAAGATTAATGATAAGGTTTAGTGTACAGCAATTAATTTTGTGGAGCACAAAGATGCAAATTTATGTAGACAAGCTTGTACTCCTAAAATGAGGCATGTTTCTTGAACTAAATAAAGGGTTGACTTTGCTAAGTAGAAGCAAAAGATTTTTTAAAATATTTTACATTTGAAACTGACTCATAAAGGTATAAAGCCAAAGTAGGCATTGCTTTAAAAACCTACTTCCATCATGTGTGAGTGATGGGCTCTGTTTCTCTCTATAGCTATTTGAGAATGCAATTCACTGTCTTTCTTCCTAACCAACGATACACTCCTGTTATTATGAGAAGAAAATAAGGTCAGTTACCACAATGCAGTACTTTAAGCTCTTAGGCAAACATTGGAAGATACATACACTATAACAAATAAATAAGGCAGACAAACTTATAAAGTTCTACTCTTAACAATCTTGTCGGCAATGAGCTTTTGTCCTTTTTTTATTTAAAAAAAATACAGGCAAATAGGAGCTTGGAGGAGTAAATTTCTTTTAAGGAAAACTATTGCAGTACTGTAATTAATCCATCTACAAACATTCCTCCTGTTTACTAGATTTAAAAATTAAAACTACTTTGACCCCAGACATACTACAAAAGAAACCTATAAGATTTTCAGAAAGGCATGAAACTGTACACTTAGGTAGAGCAGCGCAAAACTATAGAAGCTACAGTAGTATTTGTCTGATTTTTATACAGGTGCTAGTTAAAAGAAAAAGAGATAAAGATCCTTGGAATTTTTAATAATCATGAAAATTCTGGAAGATGGTAACATGGATTAGAATTCCTTTTCTGAAAAATGGTATTTGTTACAAGCCTCAGTACCCCTCCAATTTACTTTTCTCTTCAAATCAGAAGTGTTATACAGGCCTAAAAAGAATTGTTATCAGTAGCTATTTAGGTATGGTGTCTAAATCATTCTAGAAACTCTACAAAAAGTATTTCACCTCTAAAGCTTACTAAGTAAAATCCTCCTTTCTTTAGCAAATATTACTATGGCTTGCACTAAAAGAGACAATACCTTCTTTCTTTTCCATTCCTTTTACTGGTAAAGATATTATTACAGCACTACCATCATCATAATCATCATCCAAATGATTGGGTGAAACTAAACAGGAAAAAAAGTTGATTAACTCTTAATCTTTCTAACTAAAAGCAATTCACAGCCAATCCAATATGATTTCATTGATGGTAAATGTATTAGAAAACCTGAATCACCTTTAATTCAGTTTTTTGTTATTTTAATAAGCAAGTTCTATGGAAATTTGAAATCTATTTTTATTTAGTTGAAAAGACGTATTAGTGATGGATACTTGTTTCATTGCTTCATGTTATTTTCATCTCATTGGCAATACCGCTACTTTGGGAATGCAAACTGCTGTATCACCTCAATGCTGTCTCCTCCTTGGCAACCTAGAAACTTCCTGTTTTATTTATTTATTTTATTTTGTCAAGCGATTATTGGATAACAGGTATAAGTATAAACATGGTTATGAATACATGAAATGGATACGAATAAGAAAAAAAAAGAAACAATAGGACAGGGACGGTAGGCATGTTGGTGCGCTTATGCATGCCCCCTACAGACCTCTTGGGAAAGGGGTGAGGTCAATAGTAGACAGTCTAAGGTTAAAGTTTTTGGGGTTTGGGGAAGAAAAAATATTTTCCCTTTAAGAATCTGAAAGAATACAGTGAATTTTGTTAATATAAATGGTGATAGTTTATAAAAATTATTCAGTGCAAATTGAAATACATAGTATTTCAACATCAAGGAAGATAAAGCAGTAATGGTTAAATTTATTGTTCTATTCAAAGAGGATAATATATTTATGTTTTTTGGGGGGATATCACTTCTGGATTTTGTGCTTGTGATGAAAAAAAAACTTTTTACTTTGGTTTGCCAATTAGATAGATTTGTTGTTATAGAAATGGCTAGTTATATACAAATGTGCAAAAGTAAAAAGTTGAGGTTGTAATGATGTTATCTTGTACTGTGCTAAAAAGAGTAGAAGTCAACACCTTTGTCTTTCTTCCCTTGAACCTCATATTTTCCCCCTTTTTTCTCCCCTTTTTTCCTATTTTTATTTTTCTTTGTATTTTATACATTGATAAAACAATAAAAGTTATAGACAATTTAAAGGGTTTGCATTCTCCTGAGACCAGCTGCCAAAGTCATGGTAGCTTGGATGGAGAATGGATTAAAATTGGTCTGTTAATCAGGAGGAAGGGGAAACAAAAGTTGAACTAATTAGCATATTCTCTAAGAATGGAGAAGTCAAACAATCATATTAACTTACCTTCTGGGGGAACAGGAAGTGGTGTCAATGCTTCGGCAGACATATAAATCCCTATTGACATAAAGGAAAAAAAAAATCATATTTAATATTTGGTATTCCCTGGAGTATGTGTCATGTATGTGTCACAATCAGTATAATCAATGTATATGTATGTCTGTGTAACTGTGTGTGCTCATGCATGATTGTGGTTAAAATATTGAATAGAGAGCAAGTATATTTTGTCACAGGACATATAGCCTTTTCATATATAATCATGCACTTAGCCACCATAAATCTTTCTATTTAAGATGTAACCTTAGGTGGATTTACTGGAGAATATATCCCAGTCACATAGCAGCATTTACTCAGAACTGTTTTGGGAGAGAACAACAGAGAAATACTACTAATAAAATAAACATGTAGAAATTCCATTTTAAATGATCTGTACGAAATAAAGTATATGCCAAAAAATTCAGATGATTTATTAGAAATAATAATTATAATTATTATAATCTCCCAGAGAGGCAGTATCTTGATGTGATTGTGGATCTTGTGTGCTCTGAGGAAAATGAGAGCTATGCCTGAAGTTCAACCATACTGGACAGGTATTATCAGAAGAGCCTGACAAAGCGTGCCTCTCCCATAAACAATATGGCAAGACATAATTTAAAGAAACCCATATTGGATTGGTCATCACCTGGGTCAACAAGGACCACATTAAGTGTTGGAGTTCCTGAATTGCTGATGACAAATAGTCTAAGCAATTAGGCCAGAGGTGGAATTCATCAGGTTCTCACCAGTTCAAGAGAACTGGTAGCAGAAATTTTGAGTAGTTCAGAGAACCGATAGCAGAAATTTTGAGTAATTCAGAATCCCACCTCTGACTGGCCCCACCAACCCCATCTATTCTCTGCCTCCCAAGTCCCATGTGATTAGCTGGGTCTTGTTTTGTTGCACTGCACAGGAGAATGGAGCTGGAAAGCAGGTTAGTGGGATGGGGATTTTGCAGTATCCTTCCCCTGCCAAGGCCACCAACCAATGCCTACCAAGCCATGCCATGCCCACCAACCCACGCTCACAGAACCGGTAGTAAAAAAAAATGAATCCCACCACTGAATTAGGCCTAGCAGCTGCAGGACAACTGGATGAAAAAATGTTTACCCATTGCAAATATACAAATAATTGAAAACAAAGAAATAATAATCTGTTCTTAGAAATCAATATCAATGAGAAGATAATATCTGAAAAGAATATGCCACTTCTGGAAAGAATAAGATCCAGAATTAAAAGTAAGAAATTGGAAAGAACAGAACAGAGGCTAGTAGATCAATGATGTTTATAATATAAAATAAAGGATTCACAGAACCAAAATTGCAAAGAACAGCAAAGATCTACCCAGGGCAACGAAATTAAAGCCTTGCCAGAAGTAGCTCAGGCTGTAGAGGCAAACTGGGTCCTTGATGGTAGAAGCTACTTTCATTGCCAAACAAGACACCCTCTGCCTTCTCAGAAACAACAAAGTCCTCTAACTAAAAAACAAGAGGAACTGAAACAAAGAATAACTGAACATCTTAAACAATAGAAAAACAACAGAATAAGATTGCTTGCATTGGAGCTTGCTGCAAAGAAACAGCTAGCACAAGTACAAATAATACCACCAATACTGTTATTTCAGATAAAAGCACCAGCTCACTGCAAGTAACAAATACCAATCTAAAGCACAACTGCAGTTATAACTGAATATCTTGGACTGATTTCGAATACAAAATCAGCAAACAAGGAGTGGGGGGGAGCCCAACAGTGCACTATCAGAATGGGAGATCAGGTTAGAAAATAAGATCACCATGCTAAAATCAGAGGAAAGCAAGCTAGAACAAATGAAAGGAAGCTGAAAAACTTAAAGTCCAAAGAATGCCTAATCAAGAAATATCAAAACACAAAAGATCAAGGAAGCACTGAAAATAATAAAGCAGCAAACAATAACTAATAACTATAAATAATAGCTAATAATAACTGGAAATCAAATAATATAACCAAGGAGATTAGCAGATATTAAACTTGAATTGCACACTGTAGGCACCAATTGCACAGATAGGGCTGGGAGTGGGAGGAAGTTCTGTTCCAGTATAAGGTAAACCGAGAAAATAATTTTGTTATTTGTTAGGGGACACATATCTGAATTTATATTATACTGCAACAGCCTTCCCCAAATATGTGCCTTCCAGCTGTGCCAGAATTAAACTCAAAGGAACCAGATAAGTTTTTTTCCGAAACATATTTTATCTCTGTTTAAAAAGGTCAGAGGAATATTTTAAGAATGTGTTTGTCCCCCACAATATGCACCAAGATTTAAAAAGAAGATTGCAAATTTCCCCAGCAATGAATGGAACATGAATGCAGCGACTACCAACATTTTTTTCAGATATATTAATTTAAGGTACTTGTATTAAAAAAACAAAACAAATATTTTCCTTTGATAAAAACATTTCAAATCCTACAATCAGAATTTTCTGTCTCTCAATTAAGGCTAAGTTTTCTATCTATCGATTCTATTTCTCAGTAAAGTTTATGATATTTATCATTAGAAATTAGAAAAACATTTCATGGTTTTCCAGCATTCTGCATTGCATAGCTCTTTTCTTTCTTTTTTTAATGATACTGTTAACTCTCAGAACTCTATAATGGCACTCACTCCATCTAGTGGAAATACAACCTAGAATTCAAATGCCATCAATGGACAAACCAGCCATACTCTATTGGCGTAGGGATGAGGGAGGAGGGTGCTGCTGCTTGTCACTTTGCTTGGTGTTTGCTCAGATTTCTCTCCTAAACCGCTAGTGTAGGATTTGGGGCAGACTGTAGATCTGCTTTGCTTTGGACAAGGACTTTTATCTTGTCTCTTCTTTGTGCACATCTATTTGTAAATAAGCCCTTATTTATTTCACATATTTTCCCCATCCCAATTCAGAAAGACTCTTCATGGCTTGCATAGAATAAGTCATTCAGTTAAAACATCCACAGTATAATCTAAAAACCTGAGAGTCATAAATAAGAGACAAAATAATAAACAACGTAAGCAAAATCTCAGTTATACCAGAAAAATAGAAAATAAAAAAGGCAAATCCCTTAGATCCCCAGTGTTTTCTCTTTGCAAAGCTTAGTAAGTAATGACCTTGGGACAGCTGACCATTTGGAAAATTGGGAGGGGGGCATGCAACCTCTTTGCAATATAGTTTTTGCGTCAATGCAATCTATTCTCTTAGAAGTTCGACTCCTGTAAGATGTACCGGTTTAGTTACATCTAAGAATATATCCATATATATCCATAGACCTCTATCACAAACTATGGTCTTGTTTCAATTACATATTAACACAATCTTTTGGCTGGTGTTCATCTTAAATGAAGGGAGGAGCTACACATTTTAGTGATAAAAGCAAGAGGTAGAACCCTGATCACTTACCTGAAATAGAGACGTCTTTCTGAGTGAAAAAATAATAATTTCTTAAAGAATTTCTGAAGAAGATAAACTACTTCATCATCAGATTAAAAAATGAAAGCACAACTTGGAAATTTCACAAATATTTTCCTTACTTCTGCAATCTATTGTTGCTTCCAATGGTAAACCAAATTCTTCCTCTTTGCAAATGATCATTAATGAAGCTTTTAACACTGAGCGTCCTTGGGTTAAGGAATGAAAGAGTGAAGTAAACAGATCACGGGGCAGGCAGGCTGCCTTTTTATGGCCATGGAGTGCCAATTCTTGGTAATATTGTGGTTTTCCCCAACAATAGATCAAATACTTAGGAAAAACCCATCAGTGTCATAGCTGCTATTGAGATTGCTACTGTACCATCCTGAATTCACAGCTACCAACCTGATAGTGAGAAACTTGGGAAATAAGTCATGCTGATTGGGGACACAGTATCTGTGACTGAAACAACATCAATAACCTTCAGGTGTGACACAGTTCTCTGTGGGAAATTGAAACATGCTTTTAAGACACGTATAACTAACCATTTTCAGTATTAGGTCTAATGACATCCATGCCCATGTAACACTAGCACAACTGTCCTTTTAGGAAAGAAAAGTCATTTCCAATGAAAGCACATCAGAGCAAAATGAGAAGAGAAGGATTAGATAGATATTTTGCATCCTGAAACCAGGATGGACATTTCCTCCATTAGAAAAGGCACTGAGCAACTTTTTTAATGAAGCTTGAAGGACAGAAAGTCAGTTTATCAATCCAAATGAAAATGATAAACAAATATATAGGCTGGGTTCACATACGAGTGTCTGTTTGGTGTAGGGGTAAAGATGCTGCCTAGAAATTGGAGATTGTGAATTCTAGTTCTGCCAACAGCATTAAAGCTGGCTAGGTGACTTTGGGTCAATCACTCTCCATCCAACCCACCTCAGAGGGTTATTGTGGGTAAAATAAGAGAAGGAAGCAGTATTAAGTATGTTGCCTTTGCCTTACAAAGTAATAGGCAGAATAAACATCTAATGAATAAATAAGTTGCTTAACAAATTGCACAAACTAACAGGCTAAATTTCAAGCAATTCATATAGCATGTGACAATGTTTTGCAACCATATTGCAAAATAATTTGAGATAACTATAAACAACAAACTTAAGTAGTTTGTTTTCTGCAAAATTGTATATCCTGTCTCAGAGTCCTCCATAAGTTTATCCCATTCTTTTTTTTCTTTTTGTAAATTTTATTGGTTTTTAAAAACAAACATAAACAAACAAAACATAAAAACATCAAACTTTCTTCCATAGGTATATAAACAGTGTGCCGGTTGGTTTACAAATTATTTTGTGCATCCATTTTGTAGTCTTCAATTACAGTTACATTACATAAAAGCTCATATTATCAATCAAAAATTAAATACCCTAGTATCATTATTAATCAGTCATTTGACTATAGTTTTATTCATTCATTTTTACGAGATAACCATAATTTACTTAGTTTATTTTATAACAATTCATATTATCCTCCCAAATCTATCCTAAAATCATTTTGTAGATATAATTTAAAAAGTACATGTTTATATATTTATTATTTTCT